AAAGAGAAAACAAATTAATAAAATAAAATAAAATATTCACAACACAAACTCCCCCTCCACAAACCCCAAAGATTTAAAAATTAAGCAAAGAATAAAAAAAATGCAAACTCCAGAAACTTGTGCAGTCCAAAGCTACAAAGACTCAGGGTAAAGAAACAAAAATTATCAGTGCTTAAGAGGATCAGTGACAGTCCAACACATGCGAGAAAACAAATTAATAAAATAAAATAAAATATTCACAACACAAACTCCCCCTCCACAAACCCCAAAGATTTAAAAATTAAGCAAAGAATAAAAAAAATGCAAACTCCAGAAACTTGTGCAGTCCAAAGCTACAAAGACTCAGGGTAAAGAAACAAAAATTATCAGTGCTTAAGAGGATCAGTGACAGTCCAACACATGCTGTCTTTTGCCCTCGCACTGAATTAAATTGTCAGGATTATCACCATAATGCTCTGTTTATGAAGGGTAACGGCAATTTGGGCTGATGGCACTTGCTGCCTTTAGCTTCAAGCTGCCTTCCTGCATCTTCTCTGTAATTCATCAGCTCTTTTCTATCCCGTTGCCCCTTCTCACACCCTGTGCTACTGTATAGGAAGAGCAGAGGACACATGACTGCAAAGAGGCCGAGCTACCCACCCATCCCAATTAGACATTCTTCTTCTTCCAGCTGAAGACGGGGGTCAAGGAAGGCAAATTACACTCCTTTTTGGCAAGGCCCTCATCTGCAGGGCAGCATGTTTTATGAAGAACATAAAACAAAGAAGAAAAGACCATCCCCAGAGTTGTTTGGCTCTGTTGATTTGAGAAGTGGAGCAAAAATGAGTATTCACAGAAATCTTCCTCTGCTCATTCAGCAGGCTTCTACAGATCCAGGAAGAACACGGTGAGCTCAGGAGGTCTCCTCAGCAGATATAATTACCAGTGTGAGTGACGCTGCTCCTTAAAGTTGTTAAGAAACAACAAAATGGGATAAAAGCATTAACATTTAAAACAAAAAAGGAGGGAAATTTCCCTCTCCTTCTTCCAACACTTCCAAAATATTATAAAATAGAAAAATAGAACTTTCCACTTGGGAGTTAAAAATTCACAATTATGTGGGATTTCACCTTTAAATGTCAGTGCTGTTTGTTACATGAAAAAAAACCCTGTCAGCTTAGCCCTCCATGTCTTGCTGGTGTCTGCTTAATAGATAGTTACCTGGGATGATGGATGGCTCTTTGTTAGACCACTAAATGGCTCACAGCCTAGAATAAGCCTGTATTTACTGCCAACATTTGTTTGACTCAAGGATGCAAAACCAAATACGACTCCAAGCAACTCCACCCGACATAAACACAAGAAATGAGAGAGAACTAATTTGTGCATGAGTTTACAGGGCTCCATCAACACTAGTACAACACTGAAGAGACTCTACTCGGCTGATGTTCTGAAACGCTGAGAGACAGCAGAGCGGGGAGCAAGGAGAGTCACACACACCCAGCTGACTGCTGAGGAGGCTTGAGACCCGATGGCACTCCTGACTACCAATGCTGAACAGATACGTGTGGTTTTTCCCCACAAAAGGACCATTGCACAAGCAAGTGGACTAAAATCTCATCATAGGTTGGCCATCAGGTAGCTGACTGCACACTGGGCTGGTCCTTACCCACCCTTCCATGCTCTCCTTCTCTGCCTGCTAGAGACAGTCAAAGAGCTTTCTCAGCTAGCTTGGAAGCACACCCCACTTTTGGTCTACAGAGTCCACACCCCTTATTATCTTCCAGGATCACACCGGGCACTCACCACTTGCAGAAGGCCCTACTATTCCTGTCACAAGCCACTTGCACAACTCATCTTGGCCAATTACCTGCCAGGTATGACCCACAACTCCCTTGCTATTTCCCCGCCGGATCTCTCCTGAAGAGAAATCACAATCTCTGACAATATGGTGCTATGCAGGCAGATGGCCAGTTAGCAGTTGACAGGCTCATTTGACTTGTGGTCTCCACATAGCCACAATTTGAACCCAGGGCCAGAGAGATAACAATGGAGTGCAAAGGATCTCCGACTATCGTCTCCTCTCTGCCCCTCACCACACACACTCACTCACGCACAATCTGTCAGGCTGATGATTTTCACACACTTTCCTTTCCTCCTTTTGCTAGTCTGGGGCTGGTCCTGGATCACAAGAATTAATAAATTCTTATTAAAACCTGCACGAGACACAGTCCCGCTGCAAGTGCCACGGAAGGTTAATTAGCAAGGATGAGCTGAAACTTTTGTTCGCGTTTCTGACTCACTTAATCTTGTGAGAAGCCAGCAAGCTGACATATCCTGCCTCCGAAGGCGCCAGGACAAGCAGGCTGTTCCCGTGACAGCCAATGCGAGCTGTCCTCCCGATCCGGTGGATGTATTCCGCAGGTGAAGCCGGAGCGTTATACTTCAAGAAGGGAACATGAGAAGGGAAAGGAGGAATTAACAGAACACGGCGTGTTAATTATAAAGGAGACAGCCCGCTCATCTGAAACAAAAGGGATCTTAGCAAGCCCCACACGCTGCACCTCCCTCGGAATTGGCCTGTTTATAAAGAACCCATCGGGCTCATCCCTGTAACCATCACTCAGCCCCCTCAGCCCCAGCAGTTTTTTGACATGTGAATGTGACACCTTGGCCAACTTTCAGATAATAGGATGGTTTCTCCATCTCAGTGTCTCTCTTTGCCTTTTACATTTTACTTCTATACAGGCACATCAGGAACCTGTTTGCTTCCCTTAAATAATAAAATACAATGAAAAAATCTCAGACAGACCTTAAGCTAGTGCCCCAGTGGAGCAGGAAGCTGCCTGCTCTGTGTCATCCAATAGAAGATAACTGATTCAAATTTAGACCTGGGCTAAATTGCTTTCTTTTGATTAAAGCAAATCATAGCTGGTTACCGGAGAGAAAAAAAATCTAAGAGAGATGAGGGAGTAAGTGCTTTCAGCAGCATAACATGCAGGTAACAACTCTCTCTCCATGTACAACTATCAGGCAGTATAAAAATGTTGCTTAAAGTCACCCCCAGTATAGTGGTGCCTCTCATTTACTTCACTGGGAATCAAAACTGCCCAGCTATTTGCAAGATCTGATACAGGGTGACATATTTCCCTCCCTTTAACCTCCCCTTATTCTTCCCCCCCTCCTCTCTTTCCTGGAAAAATGAACATGCACAGAGATACTGCTCAGAAATGAGCCCTCAGCAGTTTAACTGGAAAAAACCCAACCACCAAAGCCCACTATAGTGTTTATACCTGTGCCCTCTGGCAAAGTTTCTACTGGCTAGAGGTGTGAGTAAGATGCTGTGAGCAATCTAATTGCTCCCTGCAGGTCCTTGCTCTTGGACACAGCTCTCAGGACAGCTGAGATTTCGCCTTCTGGACACACAGAAGTCTCCCAGGGCTTTAGGTAATTTGCACTGCGTTCTAACACTGGCAACTATATCTTTGGTTAAATCATATTAATATACAGATCTGGGAATTAAAGACTTCACTTCCCAGCTTTCTCCAGCTAGTTAGCTGCTGCAAAACCTTTCTCTTTTTAAAACACAAAATTAAAATCAAATTTGTTACCTGAAGAGAAGAGGTAGAAATGAAAAAGCTTTGTTGAGGCTCTGTGCCCTGTTCTTTTTACCCAGGTGTCACTTGATACATGAAAATCTCTGGATCAGTTTTTCCTCAATTCAACCAACCTTTTCTTAATTATTAATCTTTTATAAAATGAAATCTACTTCATGCTCTCAGCTTCCTCTTTGATACAACAGGCTGCTATTTTTAAGGTTCAATCCATCTCCCTTAGTTTCTATTTTTTCCCAAGGCAATATTTCTGTCAACAGCAATGCAGCAGTGGGGTTTTTTTGTTGTTTGGTGGTTGTTTTTTGACCAGGGAAAATCTGAACTATGCAGTTCCACTGAAAGCTGAATGCTTACAGCTCCAGCCCAGCAAAGCCTCACTTGCAACATTCAGGTCACTGCACAGACACTATTGGGCCACTCAATGTTTAACATTAGGATCACACTTAGAACTCCTCTAACAGAACTGCCTCCCCAGCAAGCTGAGAAACATAGAAACACAAAACTGTAATAGAGATGGCCAGTACTTCACAAGATTTGGCTTCCTGTAGGGGGAAATGGAGGGCATTTCCTCCCAGCCTGTGGAATATTATCATGCAGCTGGTAACACTGGAGTTATTGAAGAGGAAAACAGACTATCAAAACCAAAGGTACGACAACAATGCTGTATCCTAGCAAAACCCTGAGTCCTCATCCTGCAGGCAGGAACATGGGGGTCTCCCACACCTGTAGGCATCAGCACAAAGACCAGCAAGCTGCAGAAAGACTGGACAGGAAAGAGATTTCATCTGAGCAAGACTGCACTTCATACATAGGTACACACATACACACACACAGCAAACCTACCTGCACGATCCATGTCACTTGAGGCAGGTCTAGTCCACGTGCTGCAACGTCCTTTAAAATTAATAAGGAAATTACTTCAGTAAAAATGCTTTGAAGACATCAGCAAAGTAAGAAATCTTCTGGCATGGCAATTATGCCAGGGAACAACAAGCTATGGAAGTAGGAATTTTACATGCCTTATTTGGGGAGAGACAGACCAAAGGTCAGAAATAATGTTGAGGGTTTAAAACACAAGGAGTATTGTTAACAGACTAATACAATAGAAATGATCCACTACTATGGCCCAAAGCCTGGAGGATATAAATCCACCTGTTTCAGGAGAGTGGCGTTGAGTTACAGCAGTCTGTTACAGTCCCTTTATAGCATATCTGAGAGAATCAACTGTCTTAATGGTAGTGATACCTTTGGTCCTTCAGTTTGTTTCACTGATGAAAACACATCTGCTCATTAGGCACCTACTACCCAAACAGTGAGAGAGGTAGAAGGAAATCTCTGGAAGGCAACACTATTTCTGAGCACACCTTTCTTCACAGAAAGCCTAAGAATTAAAACCCAGCTGCTTAGGATGAAGAGGAAAATGGCCATACAGGCAATGGTCAATGAAGTGGAATGTCCAAAGATGCCCTCATCTCCACCTACAAATCATTAGTTGTTTCCTAGGTGATGGGCTGAAGTTGAGGAGCTTGCAGGTCCCCTTTTTGGTCAACAAACAATTTATTAGAACCTGCAGGAAGCTGGAGTACAGCTCGAGGAGAGGGGACTTCAGCTACCCCTGAGATTTCCACCAGTCTTGCTCTGATTTGGAGAAGCAAAACTCAGCCCTGAAGAAACGAGCCTGAAGCTGCTGTCAGGATTGTTATTTGATGTGCCAGCTGGTGAGAAAACCCATCAACTTGGAGAAGGACTTGAATGGGACCCTTTAGTTATCCACAGCCAGTGTAGCTCGAAAAAACATACCCTTTCAAAGAGAAAAGTGAGTGTAAATACTGTTCAGAATGGAGAGAGAGCATAAACATGTTTCAATCTCCCTTCTTGATTTTCTGTTCATTAGTAATGTCCTCACATACTCCTTGGATTTTACATTCGCCACACACAATAGCAGAGCAGGTGTGCAGATTTAACTCTGTTAGGAAATGTTTTGGAACACATGTATCTTTTAGCTAGTTGCAAAACAGAATATATTAAGAACGTAAGCAGGAGCTTAATGTACTAAAAATGTGTCAGCCACCCACTGAAGTGTTTTCATGCAACTCCCACACACGTTAAAAGACTCGGAAGCTGATGTTTTGGCAGCAAAGGCCTTCCCATAAGCACTAGCCAGGTTGCTTTGTGACTCCAACTGCAGTAAAAGAGGAGACACTTTCCACAGCGCCCACTCTGAAATAACACACACTTTCGCTCCAACACGCTCATTAAGCAGCGACTTGTTCCCAGAGTCAGAATGAACAGATGTACAAAAAGCCATTTAAAGAAGGTTGGAGGAAATAAATCAAGAGAAGTCGGGGAACGTGTACAGCAGTTACCAGGATAACAAGCTTATAAACTCTACAGCACAATCAGACAGGAGTGCTGATGCCCGATTCCGATCAGGTTGGCCCTGCTACACATTTCCATGCTGACAAGTCTTTGGTCTTTTCCTATATAGTGCTCTTTCTCATAGCCAGTAGTCTAGGAAAGGCTGTATTTGATGGGAAGGCTCCGACCTTGGGGCAGGGTCAACTTACCCAAAATAAACAGATAGCCAAGCTGCCCCTGTGGTCAGGAGCAAGCACCTCCAACAGGGGGAAGAGGAGGAGACAGAAAGGGCAGGAGCTATCCCTCTCATCCATCACGATTTTTTCTCTCCTCTTCTAAGATACCTTTTCTCCACACCTCTGGCTGGGAAAATACTGCTGCAGACAGTATTGTTCTCGTGTGCACCAACCAAAGCATGCAGAGAAGTTGAACAGTTAACCAAAAGCCTAATAAATAGCCAGCGACAACATTTTAGGAGGAGGCTTTCTCCCATCATCAGCCTTGCATTCAGTACTGCCTTTACAATCCCACCAACTCCACTCAGCTGTTACTGACACGTATCAGCAGCTATTCTCCTGGGGTTTAACTTGGCTTTCCATCAGAAGTGTCCTGGGATTTACTAGTAATTGGAGTGTTTTGCAAACTCTCAAAGACTCCTCAGTATCAGTCCACCTGCGTCTCCTGTAGCTCCTTTTCCTCAAAGACCACAGCAGACAGCAGCAAGGTAGAATTAGGATAAAAAGTTTTGAGTTGATTTGCTTTCCCCTGCTGGCAGAGCCCAGGAGCTTCCCACTTCTCAGATCTTTAGAAAGTATTTGTGGGTCACCATACCAGGAAAGAACACAACTCAAGCAACAGTTACCCACTTTTACTAGCACTACATTTATTCCACACACAGAATCACCAACCTGCCAGTGCTCTTCCAAGAAGCCCAATAGACTTCTAATGTACTACTTTTCCACTGCCCCAGACAGTATTGCCCTTCCCATGCGTGACCTCACACCACCATTCCTTAATAACAGGGAAATCTGGAATATGAATTGCTGACCTAGAATCAGCAACTCACCACTGATTCCTTTCAGTGGACAAATTAAGGGAGAATGAAGTGGCATCTAAGAGGAGAAAAGAGAAATAACCTGCACCAGTGCAATTTTAAAGAAAACCCAGGTGCCAAGCAAATGTGATGACCTGAAGCCTTAACCATATTCCTGCCCTGATCCCAACTGCAAGCCACAGAACGGCACAGTACCAAGGTACAATCCACCCGAGGGCCCCCAGAAATGCTGACATTTCTGCTTCTAACAATTCATGTTACCACCCTGTGCTTGTGGTAATGGGGTACAGAGAGGTGGGGGTGCAAGGGAACAGGGAGCAGAAAGGTCAGACCAAAAGCAAGGCACTGTGGATCCAACAGAGATGGCCACAAAAGTTTTTCAAGGGCCTTGGTTAGCTCAGTCCCTCTCACACAATCTAATTAGGGCAAAGGAAATTGCTAAAGTTGCTTTTGAAAGACACTCAATGGTGAGGTCTTGAAGGCCCTGAGCTTGACAATTGGCTGCCTACATGAGGCCTAGAAGTACAGATGGAAGGCAGCTTGCTCAGGTGCCAGGCTGTCAGTTGGATTAAAATGACTCATTTATTTACCAAAGAACCTCACAAAGTGCTTTAGCTAACAGGCAGAGAGGGCCTAACGGCTCTCCAAGCTGGGGAAGAAGCTCTCTCGCCTTCCCGGCCTGCCAAAAGTCATTACTGCCGAGTGTGGAAAGCCATCAGCAGGGTAGAGACCCCCGTCGGCAGGGTGACAGATTGGGCTGCGTAATCAGAGGAGGAAGGGGAGAGCACAGAAGCTGTCAGAGGCGAAAGCTCTTGGCTGGGGCCGCCAGAAAACTGGCAAGATGAGTTAGCGTGACTGAGTAAACAGCAAACAATCTCCAAATGATCTTTCCTCTCTCCCTGGAAGAGATGAACTTGTTTAAAAGGCACATCCCAAAGGAAGCTGCAAAGAACTTCAGTGAAGGAGAGAGAAATAAATCGGGATGAGACCCTCTGAGATACACGGCCCTTCTTTATTTTCTTGTCTGCCAGCTCACATTGTCTGGCAAAAATATTTTATGGAATATATTAATATACATTTGACATAGAGCAAATTAATAAACGGAACAGCAGGTCCCATTGCTTACTAGAGCGGAAAGATGGGTGGAGAACATGGCATAAGGGACAAGGGAAGGACGGCAACACTATCTGTGTTGCTCTTTTGTGAGCCAGGTTTCAAGATTTCGTGGGCACAAAACGTGATTTTGCAGTGAAAAGAACAGAACCCTCTTTCTGCAAAACCTTTTTGCTGATATGAAGGAAAGCATCAGAAAAAGCAATGCCCTCGGAGGCAGGAGGTGGTCACAGTGCCTGGCTGCCCTTTGGACATCTGCGTTGGGGAGGCACCTGTAATGTGGGACTAGTGCAAAGTGTATCTCTATATTAAGGTGTCCATATGGTCCCCATTACTGTGGTAACAGGCCACCTCCTGGTTTCAATGCATTTGTCCTCCCAACATCTCTGTAAGATAGAACAGTGCTACTATCCCCATTTTACAGATGGGGAGCTGAAGCACAGAGAGATTTTGGACTCAGACACACAACTTACTGTGCTTAACGTGCTAAGCATGTGCCAGCTGAGCCACAGTAACCATAACTGTCAGGATTTGCATCCCTGCTTTGCAGTAAATGCAAAGTAGCTTAGATGGAAATGAAGGAGGGTTACGATAAATGCATTACTTTACACTACCCTCTTCACGGCAATCTGGGTTAATTCACATTACCTCCCATTTATGACAGGTCAGGAGCAAACACACAACTATTGCTGCTCAGCTGACATGTGGCTACTTGCCTTGTCATCACAATTCCATCTCCACTTGCGCAGAGTCTGTGGCATGGCAGGAAATCAAACCACATCTCCAGTGTCTCAAGATGGGGATCCCATCTACTGGGATTTCTTTATCCAACTTATTCTTCCTCCCTTGCCAACAGCTGTACATTTCCTGCAGATTTTTCCTGTCACAGGCTGCATTTCCCTTTTGAACAGTCTCACCCAGGAACTGATATCCCAGTGATTGCAACGATTCCATTTTCTCTTTGTCTAAAATTGAGCATTCACTGTCTTTCCAAACTTATAAGCTGAAATTTCAGTTTAACAAGACATGCCCCTGAAAATTCTCAGTTATAGACAGCATGCACATGAAGCATAACAAAGTTCAGCTATTTATTATTTAGAATTTACCAAACACTTTTTATCTTCAAAACACTTGAACTACACCACTGAGTGATTTAAGCTTTGCTATCCTCCTCAGCTAAGACACTGACTTATTACCTCTGTACACAGGTAAACCAAGTTATAGTTACAATTATGCACTGCAAAGATGCATTTTGACCTTGATCACATCACTGAAAGGTTGTACACACACCCAGGGCCAAGACTAGCACGTAACAAGTACAGTTTTACAGGTGACACAATACATAATTTGGCAACACTGAAACCAACACTCCTATGCACACGGCAGCCCTAGTTTGAACTCAGACATTAAAAAGGTAAAATTCACCCCCCACTCTCTGAAAAGAAAAAAAAGGGCAACTAGTTTCCTTTAAGAACAATCTGCTGCAGGAAGAGGAGTCATTTCAGAGCTGGAGAAGGTTTCTCAGCTCTAATTACTCCCGATCGCTGTAATTTACAAGTTTGCGGTGGGTAGAAATCGCCAAGATTCACACATTTTCAGATCAACAGCTGCCACTATTAGAGAGCAAATCGTGCAGCCTTCTGCACCACTGCAGCAGGCTAGCTGTGGCACCCACAGGTCACAAACGAGGAGAGGAAGGTGCCACCACAGCACAAGGGTGCCAGCAAACTTCAGTAGAGGACAAGAATTTCTCCCTCAGCACCCTTGAAGGAAGCTTGAAGGGCAAAGCACGGAGAGCAGCAGAGCGTGTGCATTTCTAGTGACACCATTCTCTGGTTGGGCTTCCCTTCCATCCCTGCAGGTTTTTGTTTTTAACCTTGGGGTAGTCATTAAGATGGGAAATATCACATTACATCCAATTTACCTGGCAGTTCTGGGGCATACTACAAATTAGGATTGCATTCTACTGACTGTATGTAGAGGGCAAGGTTCCAGCTTCAAATGATCAGATTTTTCCAGACATAAGACCATGCAAAATACTTTGAGGCCTCTTGTATCAGACATAGGCTTTTTCTGTATGTGGTAAAAGGTCATGCACATGTTTGCAAAGAGGGCACTGGTCCTTATTTAACATGTGAGATGCAGAAAAAGGAGATGACTTTCCTCAAGGTCAGACAGTGAGCTGGAATTAGAGCTCAGTGCCAAATCCTCTGCTCTACCATTAGGTACCAGGCAGGCCCATTAGCGTGGAGCTGCAAAGGGACTCCAAGTTACTTACAGTGCAAAGCAAGATGCCAGTCTTGGATTTCAGGAACGCTTGGAAGACCTCTGTTCTTTCCTAGAGGATTGAAAGAGAAGAATGGAAGACTGCTTATGCACGTTACAATCAAACATAAAGCAAATTAGCTAATGTAACAATTAAGCAACTATGCCTTGCTCACTAGATCATGTACAGCTTCAAAAGCAAAGGACTGGACTACTCTAGTTTCAGTCAGACTCTTCCTGTAAATGTAAAAAAATATACATCTATGGCATACAGTTGTGGTCCTGGGTAGGAAGGCAGAGCATCAGGGGCAAGCCTGAGTGCCTTTGTTCAAACGAAAGCAGCCAACACCTCCAGGGTTTGCACAGAAGCATGGCCTATGGATGTTAGAAAGCAGTTACTGGTTTACATGGAGAGGGGATCCAAAAAAGATTAGGCAGCAGCAACAGCAACAGAAGCACTGGCATACCTTATGGGCAGCACAGGCTTTTGTGAATGCAAGAAAAAGCTGGACATCTTGTCTGTCCAGTCACAAGATGGGCAGGATAAGCCCATTTGGTTGACACAGTGATATAATCACATCACAAGAGATCAGCTTCATCATGTGCCCAATGAGGCATGCAGACAGTCACTGAACTGACTGAGTAATTATTAAGTACTGGGGATGCTCAGCTGCACAGTTGCTCACATGAACTGTTGTGGGATAAGTCTTCAAAGTAACAGGGCAGGAGGGAAGAGATCTTGGCTAGAAACCCCTGCCCAAGGGGGCAAGGAGGCAGGACTCCTGGGACTGCAGGCATCTGCCACAGAGCTCCCAGGATACCCTCCCATGGCCTTCCCACAAGAAAAGGCCTCGTGCTGGTGAGGGCCACCAACAGGGCTGCTGACACTGGGATGAAGGTTGTTCCTTCCTGTGAGTGTCAGAGGCAGGCGCTCCCCAGCCTTGTCCTCATTGCTGGTCTGCATCAGAAGAATTCCTGCAGCCCCACTTCTACCACGAGCTCAGGCTCCCAGGCAGGGCTGTCCACAGCCCCCACACCCCAAATTACTCCACCAGTAGCCTGTGAGCCATTGAGCCAGAGAACTGCAGGAATCCACCAGTATGGCTCCTCACTTACCTTCAAAAGGGCTTTGTCAGTCCCCAAACCTTCCTAAACACACTCCAGTTAGTTTAACTGACTACTTTGGGGTGTGTTGTTTTCCTGACACAAGCAACAGAAACCGATTCTTCAACCCACGTTACATCCTGATATTTGCTATCACACAAGACAATCTCTGAGCACTAACAACCAAAGGCCTCAGTGGCACATGGTCTTCATTTGCCAGTACAACCTACCCACCTACACTCCCCCTCTTCTTAGCTATGGGAAATAACCACACACACACACACTCCTTTGATCTGATTCCATTTACTCCTTTCCTTTTCAGAGCTTAGGCTGTCTCTGGCCTCAGAAACACCAAACCCATTTCCCTCCTGTGCCTTTTGCTTCCTCCTTCTAAAGTATCCTTGTTCCCATGTTTCAAAAGCCTTCCTTCTCAGAGTTCTAGAGATTAACTGAATGTCCTGTTATGCTGATGATATAGAAGGAACCTCACACATTTGACTCCCAGCTAGGGGTACTGTTCCAGGAAAGAAGGGAAACTTGGGCCTTGCTGACACACTGAATCCTCTGCTGACAAAAATTAAAGAAGAGAGCACGCTGTATCTTGTTGACAATGACAGCAGCCGTGCTCAGCAGTACCATATGGGATCCACAATTTAGCTCCATTAATGCTCTTAATTTGAAGACATCGAGCACTAATTACACACTGGGTACTAAAAAGGCAAAACCCTTCCCCTGGTGCCAGCTACTTAGTGGTGTTCTGTTGGCTTAACAGCTGGTCAGGGTAGAGTTGGGCCAGACCAGGCCTGCTCACTTGCTCAGGCAGGCAGGTTGAGGAAAGGCCAGACTGCAGGGACAGCAAAGCACATGTTTCTGGTCTCCACAGGATGGGAATGAGAAAGAAAAAAAATGGCTCTTCACCTCTTGCTTCATCAGAAGAGCTCTATTCATTTGTGATCTCTGCTGTGCAGCTCAGAGTAGAGCAGTAACTCTCTCCATCACAGATCAAGGGCAGGATCAGGGGCTGAACTTCCAAGGCAGGTCCCTCAGCTACTGAAACGCTGCAGCACCAGTTCACTGGCCTCTCAGCTGTCTGTAGCAAGCTTGAATCTCATTGACCAAACCTATCCAGCTAAAACCTAGACTTACTTTGGGGTAATCACTGTTAATTGCTATTATTCCATCTCAGGGAAAAGAGCAGTGTGTCAAGACACTGTTCTTCAAAACCAAAGCCAAACTGCTCCATCCCCATCTAATGGGGCAACTTAGTAGTAATGTTTCAGGGCTTGGATGAGGCTTTCCTTTGGCATTAAAAGCCTGTCTTGACTGCACAAGAGGCTCCATCCTCATCTAATGGGGCAACTTAGTCAGTAGTAATGTTTCAGGGCTTGGATGAGGCTTTCCTTTGGCATTAAAAGCCTGTCTTGACTGCACAAGAGAGAACCATGGATACGTAAATGGTTTAGTGCACCCACTGGGAATACAGAATGGCTCTGTCAGCCTGCTGAAATAGCACCTCTTGCCTCTTCAGCTGTGTTTTTCAGATATAGCTACCAAGCTACTTTCCAGAAGTGGGACAATATTCTTATTCTCATTAGCAGATGGAAGAGTGAGGCCCCTAGAGGTGAAATGATTCTCTGTCCTCTCTTCTGCCCTCCTCGACAAAATAATAAATCAGAGGGAATACAGAATAAAACAGTGTCCCCTGACATTTTCAGAATGCTTACTTCCTGTTCCATGTTGCCATGCAGGCGCAGAAACTGTAAGCGTGCAGAAGAGAGAGATGAACGTTCAGGTTGTTCTGACTCCAGCCCTCCTGAAAGGACCTTTAAGAGGAGCTCATAGTAGAATTCCACTTGTTCACAGCTGGAGAAAAAGATGATCATCTTGTGGTGTTTTTCAAACTGTGAGAAAAACAAGAAAATTGCACATAACCATTTCCATAGGCCTCTCTCACTGCCACGATCACTGTAAGATCTAGGTGACTTCCACTTCCAGAGACATGATTATCCAGGAAAGGATGACGGAGTTTGACACCAAATACTGAGCCCACAGAAGGAGTACATGAGTACACGCTGCACAGGTATCTCAGTGCCAGCATGAAAGACACAACAGCACCTCGGCTCTCTTGTGGCTCCCTGTGCACTGGATGTACTTCAAAGCCCTAGATCTATCCTTGACAGAGTAACAGATAAAGGAGTTGGAAAGGGCAAAGGGCTACTTAGTAATATAAATGCAAACAGAGTCTCACCTTGCATTTCTCAAGGATAAAAGCTGCTAATGTGACAAGCCTCAATTTGCTGGGGACCACCACGACATACTGCTTGAGCTTCTCCGGAACAGCAAAGGTTTCCTGTTCCATACAGTTTGATGAAGTACTGGCTTGTCCATCCATTTGTGATGCTGGTTTGATCTGGGTTTCATCTGCTATGGAAATGCTGACGGGATCATTCAAACTGATATCAGCCAGGCGTGTTACTCCTAAATCGTAGAAGATGAAAAATACATGAGGGTCAGTCTGGGGTGCTGCTGGGGAAGGTGATGAGATAGTCACACAAAAAAACCAACTAACACAATTCCAGTGAAAAGCAGCAAAGGGCAAGGAGCTAATGAGCCTCAGACACTGACAGAACACCCCTGCAAACTTCAGGCCTTCTGGGGCTTAACTGCTGCGCACTCCACCAAAAGCATCACAAGCTGCTACTTCAGCCATCTGGGCCATTTTACATTATATAAAGGTTTTGACTAGACAGACAGTGTTTAGCAGTCCTGTTTTCTAACAGTGTGTGTGGAAAAAAACCCAACACACCTTCACACTATCAGAAGTACAGGAGTCAAAAGGCCTGGCTCAATTCCTGCCTCAGCAACTGACTTCTTGCATGACACCAAGCAAATCACACTCGGCTGTCCTGTCATTAGCTTTTTGCCTTAACTCTGTATTTGTAAAGCAAAGAAACAAACCAGTGCTTCCCAGGTTCATGGTGAATTTGATCTGGAATTTCAGAGACATGTATAAGGACCATGTAAGTATATATAAAAATTCCAGTAACACAGGACAAGTGTCATAAGCCCAAAGAAATCAGTAGGCATAATTCCACTTCTGCAAAGCACTTCAGACTGGGCTGTAATATAATCAGACTCAATCAACTATTTTGTAGTTTCCTGTGAATTATTCAGCTAGAAGAGACACCATCTATCTATATCCTACCTTCTGTGAGGGTGGCTGAGAGCAGGACATTCTGACGTGCCTCTCTCTCGGCATTTAAAGCATTGAGTATCACCGTTACATCCTTCTCAAAGCCCAGGTCCAGGATCCTACAAAACCAGCAGAGGTGATGAAAGATGCTGCTGGAAGGAATGAGGTGAAAGTCTTCATACTACATAAGCCAGTCATGGAGAGGGGAAGTGCTAGAGCTGATCAGATCTTTGGCCCATCTAGGTTCATGCTCCATCTTCAACTTCTGCCAGGGTCAGAAGACACTGAATCTTTGCAACGGATAATTGTACAATAATCTGTCCAAAGGGGACATTTCTTCCTAATCCCAGCCATCTGGTGCTTGGCTGAGGCAACCGAACATGAACGGTTTAAGATCTCTCATTATTATTTCTTGTTTGTATGTATGTAGTGAATTATGATGCAGAAGGTACCATAGTTATTTTCCACACCAAAACACCTGGAATCTTACCTGTCTGCTTCATCAATAATCAGCCACTGAGTGCGACGGAAATGAATACATTCTGTGGACTTGATGTGATCAACCAGGCGACCAGGAGTTGAAATGAGGATGTTTATTCCTTTACGTAATCTGTTTAGATTAAAACCAAAACAAAAAACACCCACAAAAAAAACCAAACCACAAACAACCCAAAACAAAACAGAAAACACAAAAAATAATAAGAAACAAGAAAAAGAGAAAGGAAAGGAAAACATCCAAGTTAGCAATAATTCTGGAATAGGAACCTGGAGTGAGGAACTGGAACCTACAGAGGAAAACATTATGGCTATAGCATAAAATTCGCAAGGATGGTACTTTCTCACTGATTAAAACTGAAATCTATTGCACAGCTAAATTCTACCCTTGATCATCATCGATACTCAGAGGCATACTGAGTGATAAGGACAGGGTAGAAAGAACTATTAATACTACTAAAAAAATCCAAACCACCCAAGCTAGGTTTTCTTTTCTAATCAAGTACTTCTGTTACTGTCAAGAGTAAACTTCTTTCACTTCAATTCTTGAAAAGGGAAAAGAAAGAGATTTTTAACACCAGGAAATCTCTTCTCCAGAAAGCAATTTCCCCCATAACAAATACTGGAGACAGCACTCGGTGGTAAGCAAATACAGGTGTTTGTCAGAAGAGTTAAAAAAATACTGACACAAGAGAACATCTTCTCAGAAGGCTCATCAGCATTTTAGAAATAGATCCAACTGGGGGAAGTGAATGCTTCCTGTCTGTGTAAGATCCAGGGGGATCACAGCTTGATCCAAACTCACAATCCTCTCTCCTGGTAAGAAAAGCACTCTAAAGAAGAGCAACAGATAAAACACTGTAGAGCAGAAGAACCCAAAATACAATTTAAGAACTTGGCTTCCTACCTGGCTTTTTCCGATTTTCTCTTTTCTCCCCCCATTAGCACTCCAGGCACAATCCAGGCAAATGGCTACAGGGGGATCACAGCTTGATCCAAACTCACAATCCTCTCTCCTGGTAAGAAAAGCACTCTAAAGAAGAGCAACAGATAAAACACTGTAGAGCAGAAGAACCCAAAATACAATTTAAGAACTTGGCTTCCTACCTGGCTTTTTCCGATTTTCTCTTTTCTCCCCCCATTAGCACTCCAGGCACAATCCAGGCAAATGGCTACAAAAAAGAAAACCAAGACCAATATAGATTCTTCTTAATGAAGGGACAGAGCCTAATTCAAAAAATGTTGTTTCTCAGCAAAAAGAGAAAGGACTGGGGCTGACAGCAGTGTGCATCTGATTTGATCTAACACATACAGCCCACATGCACTCTCTCACCCACAGCTACATATCAATGGCACCTTTAGTTCTAGCCATGTAACTTGCTTCCCACGTCGTCTAGGAAGATAGAAACGCAATCATCTTTGCACCAGTTCCAATCACATAGTAAACTTCTTTTCCTTCTCCCCATGTAGTCTAAATGTTCAAAGACAAGCTACAACGCTATTTCTTTATCTTGCCTTTAAGTAGTATCTGCCTGTGGTCAAGGAAAGTTTCAGAAAAACACAGGACCTATGAAGTTTATATACACACACCCCTACATGCACACAGTCACCGTGTCTGTGGATATTAAATATCAGTCTCATTGATACTGGCAGGAGTTTTTGCCACTTACTTTAATGAAGTCCAATCCCTCATTGAATCCAATATTGCCCAATATTTACAGGGGAGATAATCAAAGCACAGTAGTGCCGTTGCCTCACTCGAGAGGAAATGCAGGACAGAAGCAGAGCACAGCTTGTAAAGATCACACAAATGCATGACTACTAAATAGGCTTAAGTTTGCACGGGTCACTGCTTGCCAGAAATGCTCCAACAAAATAGTTACTACAGAAAGAGTTTCTTTTTAAGGCTTAAAATAAGGAAGATGTCTAAGCAAGATGCAGGCAGTTGGCATTAAACTAACTGCGTCAGGAGCAGCCCAACCAACCTTTTTCTCTCTCAGTAATTACACCATCATACTAAACCCTCCAGTCAGACCACAATCTAAATCTTCTGCTTTGGGTCACTATGGCAGTTTACACTGGACTCAATGGTCACTACACATTATACTTAACAAAGAAAAATTAAAGGGGGTCCGTCCAGACTTCACGCTTTGAAGGACATTGAAAGTCTACTCATAACAACTTCTAATTACTATGGAAAAAGACTGAAATACTTTAAACTTCAGCATGACACAACAAAATCTTACTTGGTAATTCCAGCACTAAAAAACACTTGGAAAGTGCCTTATTATTTCAAGGAAAAAACAGAAGAGGGACTGGGAATATAGATCAGATAAACGACTTGGATACCTTCTAACCTCATGGTAAGATACTCTGCCTCCATTAAAGGAAAGCACTATCATTTAATGATTTTAAAAGCCTTCTAATTTCTCTGGCTATTCAACTGGCAACACAGTTCACCAAGTTCTACTCCCCCACCTGAAACCCATCTGTCAAGTATTAGTTTCAGCAAAACAGCGCGTGTCATTGTGAGAGTTTCCATTCATAACTCAGACTGAAACAATGACAGGTACTTCTAAAAACAAAACACTGAAAATCAGCTACGCTTGTTTATGAAAACATGTGCAACTAAGGTGCCATAATTGAGCACTTAATTCTTTATGTGATAGTTTAAAACATGCCACAGGGAAATCACGTGCTTACAAACAGATTTATCTTTAAGGACCACGCATCTTGCCAGATGCTGGATTTCCTTAACCATTCCATTGAATTCACAGGAACTGAAGTTGCTTTGCCTCTTGCAGCAAGAGGCTCAAGGAATAAGAAGAAAACAGAGCACTGAATTCTTACCTTAAGTAGCTTCTGCATTGTTTCAAAACTTTGGAGTGCAAGCTATGGAAATCAAGAAAAGAAAGTGAGCTCTGAAAAAGTTCCTGGACTACAAAGCTGGCCTACAAGCCCCTTTGGCTCAAAAATCTGTAAACTGTATGTGTATCATCAGAATTCTAAAGATGTCCTTATCTTTTCCTTTAGAAGCTCCTTATTATTTTATTCTCTTGCATAATCCTTCTTTTATTATATTGGGACCTGTTCAAAAACCTTGCTGTTGGTTCAGCTCCACAAGCCAGCTCTCAGAACAAGAGAGACTTCTGCTGGCCCTGTGAATGCTCCAGGGAGAAAACAAGCTGAAGCCACTCAAGATTTTGCCCCACAGGAAGAGTAAAGGGAAAATGGCACAATTTCTGGAAGAAAACCACTATGAAAAGAAAATGCACCTGATCCACAGAGTGATCATGTCTGTATCTTCCTACCTGTGTTTCACAGTCAGCAGAACAGAGATGGTGTACACAAAGCTTGCACACCTCATGTCTGGTCAGTAGGAAGCATTTAGCTGTTGGGTTTCATGTGCTGTCTGACAGCCATTTCTGCTGTGGCAGTGGAGACTGAGAAAGGCAATAATGCCTCCCCAGCTCAGTCACAGACTGAGTATGTGAGCAGGGCTTAGTTATGGAAGTAAAACTATCCTAAATATGTAAAACTATTTTAAATAAATAAATGCTCTGACTACACATGCTATGTACTATATTTGCCAAGCTCTCAAGAAAGGCCATTGCTTTCAATATAAAGCTAAAGTAATACCAACTGTAATTACAAATTATCTTCCCAAGTAGTCTCCAGCATCCCTTTAAACAAGCTCAGGAACAGTTTCCCCTACACTTGGTATTCATACAGCATCCTACGGAGGCAGTAAGTTTGCTGCTGTAAAAATTTAAATAGCTTCAGAGCTTTCTCCTTTCACAGAACTGAGCTGAGATATTGCACTGCAGGTTGTGTAAAATACTGTGCCCCAAACTAGATACCTGCAATCAATTCTCCACATGGAAGTTATTATCATTTGACATACCAAAAAAATAAATAAATAAAAGGTTGATACCCTCCTCTGAAATTGCCTTTGTGATTGCAAATAATATAAATCAAATAGAAGAGAGTTCAGTGGAGAAACCAACTCTGGGAAGCCTCATCTTCAGCATTCACTTCTGGATTTGAAAAGGGCTTTAAAAATGAAACCTTTGTATAAACCTACACATTGGCAAAGCTGATTTCATTGGTTTTGCTTGCTCTCCCTGTGTGAGCCAGGCAAGCTTCTGCCTGCCCTGCCCTGAGCTAGGGAGTTTCTCCAGGACTCACTTATTTCCAGCTGCATATGTAAAACTCAAAGAGATTTCTTCTTTCTTTGGTATGGCACTGAACAAAAATGACAACGTGCATCCTGAGAGCAAGTTCTTTCTGTGAGGGCAAGACCTGAGCAGAAGGACAGACCATGTATCCTAAGACAGTCCCTGGTGGGCTCACATCTACACACTAAATATCAGTGTTCAAACACTCTGAGACAAAATCAGAAAGAAGAAAAGCCACGTACCTCTCTTGTTGGGACCAATATGAGTGCGTAAGGCCCATCACTGCGCTGCAAACAGAGAATACGAGGCCCACTAAGAAGAATGTAGCACTGAGAAATGAACGCTTCCACACCTAACTGCTCTTAGCCAACAAAGTGACTTCTGAAGGGGTTTAGTACAAGTTCATATACAACAGTTGGGGGTATTCCCCCCCTCCCAGCTTTTAACAAATCAACAGTCTTTCAACTACTGATACTGCATTGCCTTCTCTTCCCTGCTTGGAAACCTGCTCACAGTCATAGCCAACGTTTTATTCCATACACATATTGTTTCACTCTTGTATTTCTGAGTTGCATAAATACTTCCATGTTTGATGCTCAGCAACAATCTGTAGGTAAAAGGTGCAGAAAGCAACAATCCAGGACGGGTTGGAAATGTTTCATCGCATAAGGAAAGTCAGGATCTCTTTCCATAAAATGCACAGGAGATGGCAGATCTGCAGCAGTCTTTTCTGGTCAACCAGATGAACCAAATTGGGAGCAATTATTCTGTTTCACCTACCTGTATTTTGGATTCCATCCCTTGCAGAGACTGTACAAGTGGAATTCCATAGGCAAGAGTTTTACCTTTTTAAAAGGGAAAAATTTGGAAGGTTTTCCATCAGTAAGACCTGTGTAAGCCATAGCAAACTAAAGTACCATTCAACCTACTATTCTTAAACTGATGTCAGAGTCTGGAATACTTTTAATTAAGTATAAAGTTCCCAGAATGGAAGATTGACAGGGGTTCACCAAAGAGCCAATTGAAAAACAGAGAGGTGGTGGTATCCCACTAAGATCTACCTAAATAAATATTCCCACCCACCCAAGCAAATGAGACATCCAGACATAGCTTGCTGCAGAGTGTGCACTGTTTAGCTCTGCTGTTTTCTGGCTCTGTGTCTCCAGCATGAGCCTTGGAACAGGCCCCTGTACAGTGGGTGGCAGCTGCACAGCAACAGCCAGTCCCAGCACTGTGCTGATACTGAAGTTTGCACAGCATCTGTCTGTGACACAGCAGTCCCATGTCAGGCTGGGAACATGAAGTTTTGGTTCTATATTTGGGATCCAGTTTAATATGCCCTAGGGAAGGAGACTGACAATTACATACTGACCTGAACCAGTCTGAGATCTCACTAGAGCATCTTTGCCTTGCAGGAGAACAGGAATTGTTTGCTTCTGAACGCTGCGTCAAACAAAACGGGTTAGGAAATATGAATGCCACACAGGTCTGTTTCTAAACTGTTTACCCCAAATTCCATGCATTCATCTCTGCTGTGTAGCTGCATCAGTAGAACTAATTTCTAAGGAAAGCCACTAGGTAGGCATCAGGTATGACAAACTGAAAAAAGATGGTTTTATGATTCAAGTACCAAATTTGAAGGCAGGCTCATAGGTTCCACCTTCAGCTGTACAACTCACTTGCTGTGTAACTTACAAGTTACTTCTCATCCCAGATTTGAAAGCAATAAACCCTGTGCTAAATGGCATAGCATAACAGGTGCTGTGGTCTTCACAAACCAGTGACATAGAACAAAACAATCATGGGCTTTAAGGAGTACTGAAGACAAAGTTTTTATATGAATTTGCTTACCTGGTCATGCTACTTATCTTTAGGACAGTGTTAATTGTGGAGATCTAGAGAGATAATAAAGAGCAGTAAATAGATGTCATTGTCAAACTGTTCTTTTTGTTACTTTTTGTAGTACAACACAGAGCAAAAACCAGAAGACTGATGCTGATTCTCTACATTACTGGTTCAGGGCAACTGGATGTGAAAGTTCCATGTTCTCAAAATACTTCTTAGTTAACCAGAATTACACCATTGCTGGTACATCATGAAATACCAGACTTGTTAAAACACTGCACTCCCAATAGTTTTCTGTGATTTTTTGGTATGATAACTACAGAAAGTGACGGGTGGAACAGTGTCCTTAGGGATGGGTCAGGACACTGGGGAGCACGTTCAGCTAAGAGACTGCAACAAAATCAGGTGAAGTTCTGGCAGGCCTGTCCAAGTCACCATGAGTAAACGTGCATCTCCCAGCTCTCTAACCCACTCCCCACCCAAAGCAGCATGTTTCAAGACACGCAGCCTTGCTGCCACTCACCAGATGTGGATGAAGGTCCAACTGGCTGAAAGAGTCCGTAGTGAAAACATCTTCTTGTACCTGCTGCACCACTTGTCTGAGTCAGGGGAAACAAACAAAACCAAAACAAAACACACGGTGTGGTTAAAAACTGTTCATCAGTAGTCTGTGTAGCAGCTTGCTTTGCCCGAGTAAGGGCACTGAAAGGGTTTTTTGCTCCTATTTATCTAAATATATCTAAGATACCTGTGAATCTTTGGGATATCAGGGTTGTTTCTAAACAGGCTGGATGTCTTAATGAAAGGTTTGCTTTTCTGGCTTTCATTTCGGTTCTCAGTCAACTGCTTCTTAGGAAGAGATTTCTGTGATGAACTTCCCTTCTGCCTGATGTCAGCTTCTATAGCAGGTTTCTTGAAGGTGTTTATTGATGGTTTACGTTTACGTTTGAAAGGTGGGTTTCCATGTGGTGACTGGAGCTTTCTTTTCAGAGCACCAGACTGCTTTAATGTTAACAAACCAGAGAGCAAGAGTTCATTAATGACTGAGAATTAACAACGTGGTTATCATGTTGAACACAAACATTAGCCCACAGATAGACCCCTTAGTTTTGGAATCCCCTGCCCCATAACTAAAGAAATTAAGCTTGATTTTTTGCAGCTAGATAGTTCCTATTCTAACAGATTCACCACCATTCCTGAGACTTCAGATCACTTAAGTGTAAAGAGAAATCTTAAATCATATATAGTGCTCATCTCTACAAAAGCTTCTCTATAAAAGCACCTCTAGCTTCATCAGAAACCAAGCAGAACACACTTGAAAAAGCTCTCTCAAAAGCTCTGCAAATCTCCTGATTACATTAAAGCCATCCCTGCAGGCTTCCTCCGCTCTGTGGCCAGGAGGGACGGCCTTTGCTTCACTCCAACTTATGCTTCTGCCAACTTTCAGCACTTCTGAGCTCTTTATTTCTTCTTCTGAAGCAGTACATTTATTTTACTGATCTTTCAATCGTATTAAGAAAATCTTTTGCTCTCCCCATATCCCTTCAGGAACAATGAAGAAGAAAATTAAACTTAACTTCCTTGGGTCCCCAAAGCTCTTCAATGTCCACAAGCCCTTTCTCAATGAACTTTCCCCCCACCACTGCAAAACTCCTGAAATGTGTGAAACACCAGCACCATCCTGCCCCACTTTTTTCGCTCTTCTCCACTCCTAGTTGCTCACTCTGATTTTCTTCCTATGGCCTATATTGTTTCCAAGCTCTATTACTTTTTTCACTTGTTTCTTCACGTTTTTGGCAACCAACCAAAACCCAACCTCCTCCATCCAACATTCACTACCACAGAAGTGATGGTTGTGGTGCCCTAGCTCCAAGTGCCTAATACAATCAGGGTAAATCCTGGCAATCATTTAACTCTTACATACCTTCGCACAGTATTTTAAGAACTACTAATAAATTCAGAATAACAATTGCAATAACCCAGAATCAATACACCGATAACTTTAAAATGGAACATGTCTATTTAAGCCATTCTTGTTTGCCTTCCCTCAAACTGATGAGAGTAAAGCACCTACTCCTGCGATGCGCGGCATTCCCAAATCTAGTTTACTCTGAAATACGACGACTTCCCCTTCCTGGCAGCACTTCAGAGCAGTTCTATATAAAACACAGACCTGTAAGAGCGTTACCCGCAGCTTCAGCAGCCACCCAAGGAGTCTGAAGCCGCTGGCAAAGCAAGAGAGGTGCAGAGAGCCCAGCTGAAGGGATCAGAGAAGCTCGTACCTCGTGTTTCTCACTACCACACCGCCCAGGGCCGGCCCGTCTCCCTCCCAGCCCCCCGGCCCCTCTGCAGGCACAAGCCCACCTCGGGGAGGGGAAAGCCAA